TGTTTTTCCGCGCTAACATAGTCAATCAAGGGACTGAAACAACTTAAGGATGCCATTAGAAAGAAGGAAACAAGAATGATTTAACAGTTACAAAACACCAGTTTTACAAAAACTAATATTTTCTTTATTGAGTTAAATTTGCTACCTTATTAGAAATAGTTTTACTATAATAATATCTAGAGTTTTTAAGGAAAAATGTCAAATTTTATGAGCAAGTATCTATTGAGTTCTGCTAAATAATTCTGTTTGATTGGCTATTAAATGTTGAAATAAAATCTTCCTCGAAAATATAGGAATAAAACTGGGAGAATGAAAAGAAAATAAGACGTAACTTTTGACCGGTTGGATAATAATTCCTGGAAAAATTTTCGAGATCGACTTTTATAGATCTATCAAAAGCGTAATAAAAAGGGTGACCAACATCAGTGAGAGAATTCAGTGATGCTAAATATTCTCTATAATATATTTTTCTTTAATTGCGAATAATAGAGTGAAGCCAGATTTAATTTATTTCTGTAAGATTTGTATTCCTAACTTTATTACAAAACATGGAGGCAAGTACAGTTGGGGGTTTAAACTTGAACCTTTACTCCACTGCAGCCTTTACGTATCTATTGTGGTTCTCTTAATTCCCCTGTAGTCCTATCCTTTTCATGACACGAAGACTGAGCCTTCCATATATCCCTTTGTCAATGGCTTATTAAAAATAAGAAAATCAAAAGAAAACAAGAGATAACTTTTTACCGATTGGCTAATAATTGTCGAGAATTTTTTTTCAGTTCGACTTTTAGCATCCAGTTTATGAAAGATCCATAAAAGTGTGAAAAGTGAGTGGGAAACAGTGGGAAAACGCGAATGGAATAGAGTTTCCTATCGAGTGGCGTGTCAGACATGAAATATTAAATTCGGTCCTCCCGGGAAATTCTGTACACCGAATCGAATATTCCGGTTCCGCATCGGGGCCCCCTTTGATCTGATAAGAAGAACTGTGTAAATTAGAAGGAAATCTAATCGGGATAGGGCACAAACGAACAAAATAAGTCGACAGCGTTTTTTTTTCGAAAAAAATTACTTTATTTGGCATTCAGTAAATATTTGAACTTGTGCTGTATTATTCGATTAGCTTTCTGGGCTCGAGATCGTCGGGATCTTGTGCCAGTACTAATTGATCGTCTGCAAAACTTAAGGTATAGATGGATTTGTTTAACGGGATGTTCTAATTCTTACTCAACAAAGCTGAAAAAAGGATAGTTAAAACATTTTTCTATAAAAAATTCTGCACTAAAACTAAAACAAAATTGCGAAATAGCGTTGCACATTTTTAACGACTATTGTTTTTTGTTGTAAGTTTTTATTATTATGTTTGTGTCGTCCTGCATCCACCACAAACATAAATCATTTAATTAATGCATATTAGTTGGCAGCATCCTCAGCGTTTTTAACCGCTCTGACGGATCCATTTATCTTTTATATTAAAAAAGGTCCTCTCGGCGACAGCGACCAGCGCATATTTTTTCCCAGAGTTTTTAGATTAAACTTTTTTTTCGCTCGCAAAAACGTTGGACAGTCTAATGAAACAATATTTAAAATGTTATGTTTTGTCACAAGACAGACACATAGAAAAATTCAGAATTTCTGATGATTTATTGTGCCGCAGAATACAATAGTGAATTCATCAGCACCTCTGTATGTGTATAGAAAACTCTCAAAAAACAGTCGTGACAGTATTTATCTATTGTGTCTTCCTTTCTTGAGTTATAACTCATCATACAGTCTCAGGGCTTTGATAAACCAGTATCTGAGACGGTTTTACAGAGGTTAGTTCTCTATCTCCGGTATCTGTAACCCACTTTCTTTTACCCTTTTTCAGATCTTTCATAAGCTGGATACTAAAAGTCGATCTCGAAAAATTTTCCAAGAATTATTGTCCAAACGGTCAAAAGTTACCTACGTCTTGTTTTCTTTTCATTTTCCCAGTTTTATTCCTATATTTTCAAGGAAAATGTTCCTCCAAAATTTAATAGCCAATCAAACTAGATTATTTAGTAGAAATGAAAACACTGATACTTTCTTTTAAATCTATATTTTTTCAGTGCAAAAATATATTTTTCTTAAAAAAAATATATATTTTTAAGCAATTAATAACACAAACGTTATATTTTATTACAAAAGTTAGGAACTAAAATTAACAGTTACTGATCAACGTATAGTTTATAAAGTCCACCTGATAATTAACCAGATACACCAGTGAATATCTCGATAATCAAAGCAAGCATGCTGTCTAACTGACGAGCATTTGATTTGTTTCACGGTTTGTCAGTTGAAATTAAGTGCTCGTTTGACCGCGTCATATACGTCCGATATCGATGTCATATCCAAAGCCTCCAATGAGAATTGTTTAAATTTAATGTGATCACAAAATAACAACATTTTTAATGTTTAAGATATATGAATATATGAAATATAGCAATTTTAAAGATAAATATAGCAATATATTAAAGTTATTTCACTTTTTAAACTACTGACATATATTGGAGACCAAATATATACGCTCCACTGATTGCACCATCAATTTTCTGCTTCCTGGTTTTTAGTAACACTATATATCGCTGTATATTGCTTGTGTCGCAGTCTTAGAAGATGCATGGCAATAAAAACAACAAAAAATATAGACACAATAAACTTGACTTGATTTATTATAAAGAAATACTTAAAGCTAATTATTACACAAAATCATTATTACTGATATTTAAACTAGCTTACCTTGCTTCATACTGCTTAATATTGAAGTGAGGTTTAGTAAAAAAGAAGATGTTTTATCGATCTAAATCAATTTGTTGTGAAGAAATGCTTTTTAACTAAAAACTAAAAAAAAATACGATTTTTTTCCGTGAAAAAAACCTCATAATCGTGTTTTTGGGGTCGAATTATACTACTCCTAAAAATATTTGCACTTATTTAAGACTTCCCCTGTATAATAAATTTATTCCAGTGTCGATTGAGAAAGTCGATATCTTAAAAACTACTCGGTATATGTTAGGCTATTATGCCATATAACTTTTATGTATCTATTATTCCAGGAGCATAAATTTTGCAATTTTGCATTTTCAATTCCTTTCAATAAGGATTATTGAATAGTGAAATTTTACTACTGAGATTTATAATATCAAGTTCCATATTTCATAGACATAAAAGATGTTACAATATAGCCTCAGCAAATGATGTCTACTTTGATTAAATCTGAGTAAGCTTCTTAGGTATTTAGGGAAACCTACGAGCTGTTCTCGAACAACAAATTATTTTGCTTCTTGAATGGCATAGGAAGTTAAAAATAGATATTTTATCTCTTACTGTATATAAGCTTATATCGTCTTGGTTACTCCAGCCATAAATAGAATCATAACCCCCTTGGGACATTATTAACGGGAATTAAAATACCATAACTGCCTCTGCCTTTTATAGGTAACAACCATGAAATATAATAGAGATTTTGACAGTTGGTTAGGTGGTTTATTTTTGACAGTATAGGTTTTACAATAATATAAAATGAAAATGGACACTCATCTAACTACTTTAATAATTTATTTACATCATTAATGCCACATATAATAAATTTACAGTAATCTCCTGCTACAATATTTTTGTCCCAGCCACTAAAGGTATTTTTTATATTCCTTTTGGTAAATGGATTCACTTTTAGGTGGAAGGAACGCTTGTCGTGCTTCTTCAGTTTTTTTTAATATTTCCTATACCTAAAACCACCAGGTTCTATCAGATAGATACCAGCCCAGACCAGACCAGCCCATTTGATTTAGGCTGGTCTTATCATTTAAGTAGGACAATTTAATTTAGCATTATAATGTAGTCTTATTATTTACAACAAAATATTTAAATATTGACATTTTACAGAACACCTAGAACTTTTTACTTTTGAGTATGTATAGAGAGTATTTTTATGAGCCAGTTAGAAAAATATTTTTGTAATTTTGCAGATTTTACCTATGGTTTGAGGAGGGCACATTTTTTTGAAAAAAACTGGCGCCGGAAGGCACGTATAGCCGCCCATACTAAAATATTCAGTTCTTTTAGTTTCAAAGTAAAGGAATTTTTCCAATTTTTTTTTATCTCAAAAACTGCGACTTTGACTGATTTTGATGTTATTACAAATTTTGTTGCAAATATTATTCCTAATCTTAAATTGAAAACCGCGTTTCGCTAGCTACTGTAATTTTGGAGTTACGATTTTTTAAAATTTTTAACCCCCTCCCATACCCCCTTACCAACCCCCCACCCCCATCAAAAACTAATGGCCAGATTCTCGGGTGCCACAGTATTTTCGTGCCAAATTTCGTTAAAATCGGTTTAGCGGTTTTTGAGTTATCGTGTTACAGACGGACAGACAGACAGACAGACACCATGAAAAAATATTTTGTGTTTAGATCATTTATGACCCTCATTTTGAGAGAAATTAAAAAAACTTTTTTTTGCCGATTTTCTGGCAATTCCATTGATAATCCACTATAAACAAATATTCTACATAAAATTTATATTATTACGCTGAAACATTTCGAAAATAATAATATTTTAAAAACGGTCGCTTGTTCCCATAAATGCCTGAATAAATTTTAAATATTATTCCGACATTTTTCCTCTATTATTGATACAATATTACAAAATGTGGCGCTAATAAATTATTGCAGTGGAGCGTGCAGTTTTCCAAATAGTATTTATTTGAAAATTCGACATATATGCAAATAACGATCAACAATATTTTAAATTACAGTTGAATATCGAAAATATCCAACTCTTTTTAATATCTTTTAATAAATTAAAATATGTAATATTAGTATGAATTAACAAAATGCATTAATTCTTTTTTCGAAAATTTGAGATCTAAAATAACATACGTTTATCTAATTTATATGAAGTTTCGTAAAATTAAATTAAAAATTTTGAATAATAAGTGATTTTCTCTTTTAAAGGATGTGTTTTTTTTTCAGCTGACTCGTCATCTCAGTACGATGCAATCAGAGCATACCTTAAAGAATTGGACATAACAGAAAAAGTATGGATTGGATTGTCGAAAACTTCAGAGAAAACAACTTTCTCGTGGACGTAAGTACTGAAACCTATCGGTAAAAAATCTTACATTAAGAAAACAAAGACACATTTCTGTTAATGCGCGATGAGCAAATGCAAGACCTAGTCCAAGACTCCTTTGATATTGATCTTAGTCTCACAGGGAAATAAGTAGCCTTGGTGGTTGGATCATTGTGCAAGACTCTTTCAAGTTATGCAAGTTGCTGGGTACATCGTTTCGTGAGTAAACCGTATGAAAAACACTCTATTTTTCTTCTCTAAGCTCTCTTTCTCAAACTCTCTAAGTAAAAGAGCCATCAGCAAATCAAAGCGCGCTCTAAAAGAAGCTCCCCGTTCCGGAGAGATCTAAATTAAGCTCTTAGATCGGTTTCGAATTGCCATTTTATTCCCTTCATCGTGTCATGAAATATGTAACCCTTTTGCGCGATTTAAAGCCGTGCCATTATCGTGATGAGTCTCGCCTTGTATCCCCTGATAAATATCGTCCATATTTAATATTGATTGCGCCATCTCGGCGTTAAATTGGATTTTACGTTTGCCATTTGTTAAATTTTTACTTGTAACTAGCTGACGTGGCAGATAGATGTCCCGTTCGAATTTTGATAAATTCGTTTTTGATTGTTTTCGTGAATTTGTGAAAGTTATTGGAAACTAAGCTAAAAAGAGACAAAATACGACATAAATAATGTAATCTTAAAATAAAATAAAAACAATAACATTTTTTCCATAGCAACTGTTAAAATTGCCTTATATCTATCAAAAATAGTAGATAAAATAGTACTTTAACAGCGAGGATAGGTTAAAAACTTTATTTCTTCTCGCACGTTTTTTAATTGTTCCATTTTTGAAAATTTTTGTATTCCAACGCCAACCTAACGCCAACCCAGCACAATATTTTTTTCTATTCGTAATAAATTGCTTGAAATAATAATTTCTGAATATTTTTTAAAGCGTAACTCGCTATGGAAAAAATATTATTTTATACACGACGATAAAATTGCATTATCGTCTTGTATAAAAAATAACCATTTATACACGTCTATTGTCGATGTTAAAACATTATTTAATAGGATACACAAACATTCTTTCTAAAAATACTGTTTTTAATTGTCACAAATCCAATAATAGCAAAGCTAAAACTTATTAGATAATGGTAAAAAATAACTCTCTAAATATAAAAAAAAATTCTTGTGCCTACAACTTTTTGCTCTTAGTAGTAACTCTTTTCATTAAAACTAAGTCCAAGTCCCTTAGATACAGCAGAAATTCGTACATACGTGAGTTTAACGACTGTGGTCTGGTTGTGTGTTTGTATTTTGGGGATAAGTAGGGATAGGGGTCCTAGGGAGGGTGAAATGGTTTATTAGGGAAACCTTTCAAAATTGGGTTAGGTAGTAAGTGTTACGATAATTACAGACGGTTCTAGTTTTATTACTTGAATATAGTTCAGGTGATGATACTAAAAGCATAAAAGTTAAGTTAAGGAAATATTTGTTTACTTAGTATTTGGAAGTCATTTCAACTCTCAACTGCGGAAATGCAGAATTTTGAGTTTCTAAACTTTAGAATAGCTGAAACCAGTTACATGAAACACGTTTCTGTTGTTCATTCTAGATTTTTTTCTAAACATAGAAACATTTGTCGGAACTACTCTATTCTTTGACGGTCTCTCTTGGTTATTCCCAGCATATTTCGTTCCATTGAACGTTGTGCGACCTGCAGTTTCCTTATGATGTCCGTTTTAAGTGTCCAGATTTCGTACGCATAGGTTATGACTGGTAATACACATTGGTCGAATGTTTTCTTCTTTAGGTAGAGTGACATTCTAGATTTAAATATGATTGAGTTTCTTCCATGAGTACCCCATGCTAACTTAATTTTTGTGTTGATTTCTGGTGGTTAATATTTCAGTACGATGTCTAAATTACAGTATCTACTAAGTCGGAACAAAGGAAATGATACATTGGCAAAATCTTCACGATTCTCGGCTTTCCTTATGAGTTTTTCAAAAGTTAGGTGAGTCCAATTTCTGATGTTCCTCAACCAAATAGTTTCTTCCTGCTGAGACATCTTTTTCCTTCAATTTTACCCTTAACTATTAGTTGTAAGACGTGGTATTTTTTATTTCTCAATATATGCCCTAAGTACGATGTTTTTCTTATTTTTATTATATTGACCAATTCTCTTTCTCTGCCTATTATGTTATAAACTTCGATATTTGTGATATGGGCTGTCCATGCGACGATTCGGGGTGATTTATCTCTTAGACTTTCAGCGTCCATGTTTCTGCTCCGTATAATAGGATTGACCAAACATAACACCTGAAGAGCTTAATTCTCAACTCAAGGTCCAATCTGGGGTTTTGGAACACGTTCTCCATTTTTAAAAATGCATTTCTCGCTTGTTCTATTCTGGTTTTTATTTCCACGTCGTTGTTCAAGGTGTTAACTATCCAGAACCCCAAATATTTAAACTTGCAGATCTGTTCTAAGGTATTGCCTTCTATTTTAATTGGAATTGGTACACTTTGGTTCTTTCCAAATACCATGACTTTAATTTTAGAGGAATTGATCTTTATCCCGTATTTCTTACAGGAGCCTTCAATTCGCTCCACTAAACTCTGGAGTCCAGTATCAGAGTCGGCAATAAGAACTGTGTCATCGGCAAATCTAATGTTTTTAATGACTTCGCCGTTGACTTTAATACCGCAATCTGTTGAAGAAAAGGCTTCCCGAAAAATAGCCTCAGAATAAACATTAAACAACGAAGGAGACAGCACACATTCCTGTCTTACTCCTCTCTGTATATTGGCTTTTTATAGGCTTCTATATACGAGATTTTTATATCTGTTTTTATAAGTGATTTCAGCTAAAAAAATGCCACTCTTATGTTCTAAATAATTACAATTATTAGCAGTGCAAATTATTTAATATTATTTTAATTCTAATTAAGGAAAGATATTTTCAGCAAGCATTATCAAGCTTCTGCAAACGTAATTTACTCGAATGTTTCGGAAGCCATTAAGTGCGCTGGTAATAGATGTGTAGCTTTTATGACTGTTGTGCAACGGAGACAATGACGTAATTCAGTGAGATAATAAAGTCCAACGGTCATTTACAAGATAATTGAGATGCATAGCTCATCCTAAGTCTTGCTTCGACGATCCATATAAACAGAAGTAATAGTTTAGTATGATTGAAAATGTTCTACTCATAGATAATAAAAAATGTATAGATTGTGTGATATAGAAATTACAACACTCATATTATAAATATATAATATTTTGTTGGTTGATTGCCTTTATAAAGTATAGTAAACGATAACATTTTTATTATACATATCATATACAGGGTGGTCCGCACTGTATTCCGAAAACTTCGGCAGCGTATTCTTCTTAAGTAACGTCAGTTTTTGGATGAAAATTGGTGTCTGGGAGTTTTTTGACATGAGAAATTTGATTTTGATGTCAATATGACTCCTATTTGTAGAGGGCGCCACCTACATATTTTTTAACTGATTTGAAGAGTAATAACTTTTCGTCCGTACCTGTATAAAACTATTGAGTATAAAAATATACATTTATGTTTTTTTCGTAAAAAAGGTCTCTTGGTAAAAATCGCTACGAGTAATGGTTCTCGAGATATTTGGAATCGAAATTATCAATACCTGTCATCATTGACATAAATTTAACTTAATTAAAAATAGTTATTAGACTGAAATATCATAAATTTGAAATGTTTTTGTGGCAAAAGTTCAACAGAAACTGTTTTATTAATTAAAATTTTTATTCTTTTAATTTATTTCTTGGTTTTTACCAAGAGACATTTTATACGTAAAAAATCACGGAATTGTATATTTTCAGTAGTTTTATACAGGTACCGATGAAAAGTTATTACTCCTCAAAACAGTTCGTAGGTGGCAGGTATTGATAATGGCAATGATGACAGGTATTGATAATTTCGATTCCAAATATCTCGAGAACCATTACTCGTAGCGATTTTTACCAAGAGACCTTTTTTACGAAAAAAACATAAATGTATATTTTTGTACTCAGTAGTTTTATACAGGTACGGACGAAAAGTTATTACTCTTCAAACCAGTTAAAAAATATGTAGGTGGCGCCCCCTACAAATAGGAATCATATTGACATCAAAATCAAATTTCTCCTGTCAAAAAACTCCCACTCACCAATTTTCATTCAAATATTGACGTTACTTCAGAAATTATTTGGAAAAAATTGAAGTAAATATGAAACTTCGACACCCTGTATCTCCGAAACTCAGCATTTGAGGACATACATTTATACGAACTTTTTTACTTATTTTTATCTGCAGAATATGTTGCCGAAGTTTCCGGAATACAGTTGGGACCACCCTGTATAATAAAATAATTATTTTTCAGAAATTTCCAACCTCTCACTGGTGAAGGCCACTGGCAAGAAGCTCTACCCACAGAGGACAGTCAGTCTCTTTGTGCAGTTACTGACCCCACTGCTGACTTTCTGTGGCACCCTCTACCATGTGGTGGACCGGAAGTAGCTGCTTTCATTTGCGAGTTGCCCAGTAAGTATACGTATACAATTCAAAATCCGTTTGTAGAAGACCTCATCAATAATTAGTTTAAATAAAAGGTTAAAAAAGTTTGTCATGAGAGAAGAAAATATAAAATTACCTGTATTAAACTGTAATTTTTTAAGATACGTCAAATCTAAATACAGTCACTGCCTTGATATCGCGATAGATACAGTTAGAGCTCTTCGAGATAAATGTTGTGTGTTTAGGGAAGTCTCAAGTGGCCTAACTTATTTTTTCGATTTTTCAGTTGCATCTTTACGTGAGGACGATATACCGTATGATCGATAAAAACGGCGTCAAAGACGACTGAATGATGAGAAACAGATGAATACGGGCCAAGTAAATAACGTTTAGCCATCTTTGACGGCGTTTTTTTTTCTCGATTGTTTGGTATTTCTTATATTAAATTAAATCATTGCTAATTCATTTGAAAAAGATGTGCGCTATCGTGATTTAGTTAAAATTGTTAAAATATGTGCATCATAGTTACAAAGATTATGACTAAATTTAAAAATCATACAAAAAATGTATTGTTTTATAGTGTCTCAACCAATGACTAAAGAATACAAGGTTATATAACATATAGGACTAATAAAATTCTATTAAAATAAAGAGTTTCTTGCCTTGAACTGCTAATATAGAAATTAATTTCACGCTGTGTTCGTCATAATGTGGATCAACCTGCTCTCACTACCGGTTTCGGGGCCCTACCCCATCATCAGGTGAGCTTGGGTATTTCCACAAAACGACGAGCACAGCAGAATATATAAATACGACTTGTCGTAAAGTAGCGGTAAGATATTAAGTCCCGCATCGCGAGATAGCGGCCTGCGTGCAATGGTAGTATTTTCGTACCACCGAGGCACAACTATCGATAGTAAATAAAGGCTTTTTTCGGCTAGCCCAAAATATATAATGGAAAATATAGATTAATACATAATAATAATACAGATTTTCCATTATATATGGGACTAATGTATAATTAACATACCATACCTACCTTCAAACAGTGCCGTGGCACATATTTTTCTTAACTTAGCTGCTTGAAGAGATATTTATATTTTTCATAAATGTTTTGACTACGCCTATGGTGTATACGGTGATATACTAATTAATTACGAAAAAAACGTATTAAAATGTTAACAAAAGGTACAAAACTAGTATCGAGTATATCAAGTACCTACATATAATATCAGAAAAATAATTATCGAATTCAATAAAAAACACTAAACAGGTGGAGAGGACAGTTTATTTACCTATGAAACGTAACTCCTGGCTGGTTTCTTATCACTACAGCTTTTACACTTAAAAGCTGAACAACTAATCACCATTGTAATATAGTTTATACAAAGTTCTTTTCACAACTATTAAAAATCGCTAAAATTGTCGCTGATGACCAGCTGATGACTCATTCGTTACCTCCAGAAAAATGGCTTCTAACATCACAAATTCTATTACAGTCTGTATAGGCGTTACCTGTCCTTGTATTTTTTAGTCATTGGTCTCAACCAAAAATATTTTTAAGAAAAATAAACCAAATAAAATCTGTACTTATTTTAAACAAATTTTTATCCAAATAATATACGATTAAAACAACAAACATGAGCTTGAGACCAGGTAAGGAACTCTCTGCGAATATCAAATAGGAAAGTGCATAACGAGAAGTCAGAAGAAGCTTCTAAATTAGAGAAGTTCTGAACAAAATACACATATTCCCTGCCGTAATCTAGACTACTGTTTGCCCTCGCTCTGCATACTAAGCTCCCAATTTAAAATTCTAAAGAATATATACTTGTTCGAGCGCATAATAGCTTTTGTATATTTCCGAATTATACTGTAGAGTTTTGATCAATTACAGTTTATCCTGTAATATAATATGAAGTTCCTTTAAGATATTTATTAATGTTTGTAATTAATTTAATCAATTAACTGACTCACCTCACTGTGAAACAAACACCTCACTGTAGCATTGAGCGAGGCTAAAATGTATTAGAAGAAAAAAAGTTTGCTCAGATGTTCAATTTATAAATAAAAAGATTATTAATAGGTATTTTTTTATTCAAAAATAGTTTTTGAATAAATAGTTTATTTTTATTAAAACAAAAGACATAATATTTAGAATAAAACAATGCTATCATTATAATGAAAAAAAGGACTACAAATCATAAAAAAGAACGAAAAGTTCATTTAGTTAGCTAACAAATTAACTCTCAATTTAAAAATGTAACCAACATAAATAACAGGGAAATTTATTGCGAGATTTATAGCTTAGCAATTGATCGAACATTGTAATTAATTACATGTACCGAACTGAAATTAACGGAAGTTGTAATTAGCTGAACATAAAGAATGGTTTAGTACGTGTAAATCAATTTTACTCTGTATGTACATAACCTAAGTAATACAGGAATTTAAACAAATGTATGGGGGGAAAGGATTATATGCATGTCGTATTCGATTATATGCAACAAACCTAAAAAGAGCTATATTTAAGCGATCTTTCAACTATTAAGATGATTAGAAATAATAGTCTAAGGGCTAGCAACTTTTTCGAGAAAGTATTTTAAAACTTCTGGCTCCAATTCAATCAGCAATCGACCCGAAAAAGAATTAAAAATATTGACTCAAAACTGACAACTAAAGAGACAGCTTTATTTATTTGTCAAATTACATAGAAACCAACGCCAACCCTGCATAATATTTTTTCTACTCGTAATAAATTCCTTGAAATAATAATTTCTGAATATTTTTAGAACGTAACTTGCTATGGAAAAAAATATTGTTTTATACACGACGATAAAATTGCATTGTCGTCTCCCGAAATTAATTCACTCGCGATTTCATCGCTCGCGAATAAATCTTTTCGGTTTACCATTTTATCGCCTTGTATTAAAAATAACTATTATTAAAAGAAAAGTTTCCGAGAATAAGTGAATATGATAAAAATAAATAAAATAAATATTTAAAATTTACACATAATTTTTGTAACTATGATAAACAGATTGTAATTATATTATTTTAAGAAAAAAAATACGTTAAGACAAACGTCTAGAAAGCCACCGAGATCAATTCTATACAGTTTAAAATATAGTATAGAGTTTTTGATATGAAAAATAAACTATAAGAAGACTAAATATAGTTTAAAAAATTTAAAGGGTAAGAATTTTTAAATTTCAATATTCTAAAATATTGTTATATTCCAAACATTAAACTGTTATATTTTTTGTTATAGGAAACACGATTTACGAACTTTTTATATATTTCTTTCAAAAAAGATACATTTCTTTGCTGTTATCTAAATAAACGTGCTCAAACCAGCTTACTCTCAGATATTTGGTTCAATATGAAGATAAACCTATAGTCTTATCACTTTTTCTTTACTTCGTAACTTACAAAAACTTAAACCCCCTGTTATCAGTTTTCTTCTTTGTTTCGTAGCTATATTTTCTTTTCAAGTCGAACAATATACCCTCACTTTTTTACATTCCTTTTTTATGCAAGTTGTATTTTGTTTTATCTACTTTATTAAAAACTTTTTCGAAGTTTCTTCTTGATATTATCGATGGATTTTATACTTTTGTTCCTCAGTCATTGCTAGAAATTGTTAAATCGTTTTTTTAAAAGTTTAAATGGAGTTAGGCTAAAGAAGTCTTTTTCAATTTTATTGGTAGAAAAAGGTAACAAACTTTTGACTTTTTCACTAATTATACTTCAAAATTTGCGAGAAATGTCATTTTGGTCTTTGATTATCATCTGTCAAGAGAAATTTGTAGATAAAAGTCAAAAGTTGATTGTTTTATAAACTAAATATAAGGCTCTTTCTATGGATGCAACTGACTACCGCAAGCTGTTGCTAGGATATTCTATTAATTTTAATTGTGTTTTTTAGACATTGTGAATGATCGTAAACTAAAAAGTACAGATTGCTGTCGAAAATCGACAACTATGAAACTATGAACTCTTCCTGGACACAAACGGTACATTGTGAAACTTGAAATTGTAGAGAGAAACAAGCCCTATAACATAGGATACAACATTTTAATGAACAGTGCTTTCCATAAAATCAATCCAATGTAAAATATACGAAATAATATAAATGTACAGATTGCTGTCGAAAATCGACAACTATGAAACTATGAACTCTTAACTTCTAAATTTCCTGTTCTGTGGTGAAAAGAAAGCATCGGTCTCCAGAGTAAAAAGTGTATCCCGTTTCGATTTTGCTGTCTATCCGAAAATAACACGGATATGCACTACCGGAACAACATTAATATACGGAGGAGCTGTCAAATTTGCGCCTGACGTTCGATCATTTGTCTACATCCGTATATATTTGCCAAATCTGGCAGTAAGGGATGCTCATCCCTCCGGACCAATACGTTTATATTCCGTTCTTCTTCGCTGGGATAAAAAATGACTCGTGGGAAAACTTGGCCTTATTTTTTCTGTGATTGATGGATGTCGTCGAGTATATTAAGAAATTGAGCGGACTAGTTATTATACAGTGTCACTCGTAAAGTCCCTATATGAGATTTTTTATTAATGTCTTTAGGTGAACTTGTATTTTGGCGTCCGACAACTTGTCGTAAAATACGCGACAAAACAGAGACTCTTAGAACTTTACCGACTCGAGACTTGACATTCAAAAGTCTCCGAATTTGGAAACACAACGAAAATGAGACAAAAATGTCACAGAAATGTATTGGATTTGTCTCAACTTTGTCGTAAAACATGAATGTTTCTGTCTTGTCGCTCTTTTGACTGCTTGGTCTGGACCCGGTTTAAGATAAGACATACGTATTACGATTTTATTTACCGTAAAACTAACCTTAAATACGAAACTGCAAATGCATCCCACGTAACATGATGTGAGAGATCCAGTCGTGGGAATCCCCGAGGAGATAAAACTGGAAATGAAATAGGAACATGAACTAGGAAATTGCCAGCAAGAGCTGCAAAGATGTGACATGTGTATAAGTTATTAAGGCGAATATTATACGGGCCATGTAATCCCCCAAGATGGACACCGGACTTTATGTATTTTTCAAATGGTCCGGCTGGAATTTCCTGGAGGATTTCATCTTAAAACACAGACGACTTCAAAGTAGAGCAATAATCTTGATAAGTTTTTTGAGTTCATGTTATTTGACAAATAAATATTATGTTTAAAACTTATGGTTGATTGGTTTGAGAGTTGAAGTGAGAGTTTTTCTTGACAGTTGTTGTCATTTGTTCCCAACACCCTGTTATTATTTCTTTCTTAGATGGAGAATTAAAAAATGAACATTTTTTGTGTTGAAATTCTAAAAATACTCTTCATTCCTGATAAGAACTACAGGAAAAGTCATCTGGCTAAAGTGCACTTTTGTTTGCAGTTCCTGCCTGGGCCCAGGGTCCTAGGGGATGCCTCCTCACAGAATTACCGTCCCTGACCGTGTTGTATATTCCGGAACAATCCGCCCTGGAACTGACTTCGGATTGCGGCCTGGACGGCACCAAGAGGATCGCCTGCCGGGGAGACGCCGTGAGTTAAAATTTAATTTTCTTTTAGAGTCGCTCCAAGTTGTGCAAGACTGGCAACCTGGACTCTGGGGAGTTAATAATTGATATGCCGGTCTTTACAGAGTGAGTTAACTGTTGTGGAAACTAGATTTATATAGGTATATTTCTTTGTCAATATTTACAGATCATAATAACTCGATTACTTTAGTTGTCATAATTTGCTTATATATTCGATATCAATTAAACTTTTAGTTACTTAATCGAGTGCGCGATTTAACGGAATTTAAATTTCCCGCTAGGGAATCAGGTGGTAGCTCTGCTGCAAAAAATGTCAAGTTGCCATATTTATTTATTTATTTCCTAACATTGTCATTCGTTTTGACACTAGTTTTTTATTACGAGTTTTTGGTTTAAATGAATTGTATTGTGATACTTTAAGACTTGAAAAATTTTACTAGCAGACCTTGCAGTCGAACATTGTTCTTTTTAGAACCTCTTTTGGTGCCAAGTGTACAATACAGCTTAATAGTCGTAAAAACCTCATCGTAACTTTATTAGAATATGTTGAACGGGAAAGCTGAACGGAAAAAAATTATTTCTGTTTCCTAAAATGTTTTGATTAAAAGAAAATATGTAAAAGTGAGTAACGCTGTGCCGGTCGAGCCCGTGCAAGTCACGTAACTAAAACTGTATTTGGTATGAACTGTACTTATGATTTATGATGTAGAATCTAAAGTAAGGAACAAGATCTACATAGTTTGTTTAATTGAGATTACTCAGTGCGGATCGAGTTATTAATTCTTAAAGTCACTTTCCTCTTGTTTTATTGCCTTTTGGTGCTAAGAAGAAATAAGAATAAAATAATTAGATTGAAATATACAGAACGTCCCCTTATAGTTGAATTTTTTCCTAAAAGCCCTAAAAATCAAAAGGCGTTACTATGGTAATTTAATTTCGTGTTCATTCGTTGATAGCTTTTTATTGATAGAATTTTAATTAACGTCATATTTTCTGCTGTTTTAAAATGTTAAAGAAGCACAAAATTTATTTTGTTCCATGTTACGAAAAGGGTGATAATAGTTGTCGGAAAATGTAATACTCTAACAACAGCAAAAATATGACGTTAATCAAAATTAATAATCATGTATAATGAAATCGAAATTATATTACCATAGAAACGCCATATTTTAACTTTATTATAACGGGTTTAAGCATTTTAGAACAAGCAAAAATTTTTACGAAGGATGCATGCAACGAAGGATGCAAGACAATACATACTGTACGTATACTGTATTTAAGATAAAACTAAAATGTTACCGAAAAGCAAAACTTTAACGCATCAACCGTTCCATTTTCTATAGCGCATAAATGAACGTTTGGAATTGCGCTCGATACAACCGAAAGCTGGAACTTTCTCAATAAACTTTTATACCTAGATTGGAAAGCAGGAATTTTCTAATTTCGTTTTGAATATGTTCTTGCAACACAGCAAGAAGAAAGAAAAACAATTTGGGTAAGTGTCGCGCGCTGCAGTTAACTGCGTTTGTAAACTGCAGCTACCTTTGTATTTTGTCGATGTTTTGTTACTTTCTTTTCATACGTAAAAAGAGGTAAAAACTTCAAAGAATCTCGATTGGCTGCACTGGAACTACGCTAAAATGCCGTAATGACGTCACCAATCTCTTTGTCATGACGTGATGAAACATTTTTGACATGTCAGAAATAACTACTAAATACAGTAATTAATTATAAAATATTTTATATTACATTGGCCCATAATCTTTATGTATATGATTTACACGTTATTACAGTAAAAATGCTGTTTACTAAAACTCAGTCCTTATGCGCTCTAAAATATACAGAGCAACGGCGATAATTGGCTGCAACATTTTTCATTTTTGTTAATTAAAAGTGCAGTTACTCGACCCGATGCCTTTTTTATTTTTCAGCGCAAACAAAAACATCAAAAAACAAACAACAAAATATTCAGCAACTCGCTGTGAATGACGTTCGTTAGAGGATATTTCGGAGATTTTGAAAAAGAGTTAATAATAATACACTGTCTCAAATATTAGCGTGTATATTTTACACAGCTCTAAGGTTCATCCTATAGCTCTCCTCTTGACTTGCAAATTCAACTTTTGGTTTTAAAAGATTTCATGTAATAACCTAAATTCAACAGTATTTAGTGGATTTTCTAATAATTTATTACGCAATAATAATAATGCATAGGGTGATGTTTGCTTAACTTTTAGGGAAAAATTTAATTTTTAGTTGCAAACTATAAATCTAAGATATTTTAAGTTAAAAAACTAAAAATATCTTTATAATATAGCAACATAGGTAGTAGATTAAATTTACAAGAAAGAAAACCCAGAAAAGATCCAGCGGTTCTCAAAACGTAAGCAAAAAATCTTTTTTTTTTTTTAAATTTTAAAGTAGAATATCTCCGTTATTTTGGACTTATTTAAAAAACAGTAAACAGAAAATATGTTTCTTTTATCGAGAGAAAAAGTATCAAACTACAACGCATAAGTTAATACAAAAGTTTCGTTAAACAAGTCAGCCTTTTTTGTCAGTTGTTTTAAACCACTGGTCAGTGAATAACGAAAATGGAAACAAATGCATTAAATTAAACTCATTTTGTTATAATAACAACAACAAAGCTTTTAACCACCATCAGTTTTTGTCAGTCTTTTAGAAAAAATACATAATATTTAAACAACTGCAATATTTGATTTTATTGTATTTCTATTCTGCGGTTAAATTAACTTTAGTAAAATACAGAAATTTTTTTAAAACATAAATAGAAAACGAGCAAAAAACTATTTGTAATTTGCTTGTTTTTTAGAAGTCTTTTTTTTCATCTTGATACTCTCATTTTTCTATTAGAAAGAAACTCATACTTTTAGTAGCTACTGTTTTTTTGTCTTTACCTTGATTCTTATATCAACAGATTTTTCCAGTGAGGTATAAATTATACCTCACTAAAAAGCATTGCAATGCTTGAATGAACATCACTGAGAAGTGAGTCGGTGCCTAGAAATTCTTTCATTATTAAATTTCTTTCTATTTTCTTTCGCTCCTTGTTTTCGTATGCTCGGAAAAACAAAGAAAATTTTTTCTGTTCTTGTAAGCGAGCAACAACATTTTAATTAACAAAATGGAAAAAATGTTACAGTCCAATAATTACCATCTTTGATTTTTACTTTCAGGAGCGTATGGAGAGAATAATGAAAGTTAGCTTTATTAAAAACAATTTTAGAGTTTATTAACATTGTGAAAATATGAAATTGAAATTTATAAATATATTTATCAATACCATTACAGCACAATATATAAGTGTATGATATACACGTTGTTACATATAACTACTTACATCATCATATTAAACATTACCTATAAGTACATATTGTTTAACGTATTTGTGACAAAATAATTGTTAATAACGTTTAATATATTTTTTGTTTATCAACCTTAAAATCAAATAAGCTAATTTGGCTCTAATTAATTGACATTTTTTTTCCTTTTTTGTTAATTAAAAGTTTGTTTACTCCCCTACAGCACAGTCCTTTTTTATTTCGTGTTTTTGCAACCAATGAAAGCGTAACTTTGAACAGAGACAGACCTAAACAAAAATAAAGGACATTTAATATTACAGAGCTAAAAGAATTTTTAGCAATCTAATTCTCTCCGCTGAATGACATTTTCTGGAGTACTACGCGGGCATTTCATAATTTATACCTTTTTTTATTACTGGCTGAATTTGTTCAGATAAGGATCAAGATGGAATCAGAAAATTACCACAAAAACGCCTTTCTGAAAGAAGTCAGAGTAATAAATGTCTAAAGAACTTTTGATATAAATTTCGGAATCATGGAATACAAACTGATACAGTAATTCGAATGTTTTTACAAAAGGAAAAGTGTGGTAAATAGGTAAAAAAATAACAGTAAATAAAAGTTTTCATATTTTAATGAATACAGTATATTTCCATTTTCATTATAACTAGCCAACATTTTTTAAATAGGATTGTTCAGTTGTTTTAAAAAGTTTTGTGTATATTGTGTTCACAGTCTATTCTTTTTATGTTTTCAGTTCACATCAGTCTTTTATCATAAAAAAAACAATCATCAATCATCGTGTTCACAGTCTTTTTATCGTGACATTCGACAGTCGAATCGTGAATAAAAGATGATAAATTAATAACATGATATATGAATATATTATGTTATTTCTTTCTTCTATCTTTTTACCAGAAATACAATAAAGTTATAGGGCCTTTATATGGTTTTATATAATCCGTCTTATCTTTTATTGCATGTAACATTTTATTGAAATCTTTTAATTTTTTACATTTCATGTAATTGGTACATAATTTTCACCAGAAGTACAAAACTGTTATTTCTGATTAAAAATTGAAACTTTTACACTTATTTAAAAATAACAGCTTAAAAATAACAATAGAGACATTATCAATACCTATTATTTTTTGTTTATTTATTTATTATCATGCATGATCATTTTTACCTAATATCTACCTACAATCTTACTCACTAGGCATAACAAAATGCAGCAAAAAAATGTACAATGAAAAAATCCACACAAGTTTATCCACAAGCCATAACAGTTATTGAACTGTTATTTACGCCTTCGAAATTAAAAAATATAAGCGAATTGCTCACTCCAATGCCTGATAAAGTTTCATGGCATAATGATTTCGACATTATGTTACATAACATAACCGTCCTCTATAAAAAAAACTCATCTGTTATTTTTAAAAATCACTTGAACTGAAAACTGCTTTGAACGCGGCAGCAATAACCACATTACATCGCAAGCGGTCGCTCTCAAAGCACTCTCATACTTGTTATTTTTGAAACAACAATAATTAATTGTTATGAACTGTTATTTCCAAATAACAGTTCTTTCGTAGTTTTTCGTTTCTAATTCGTAGCAGCAATACATTACATAAACATTACATCGCGAGTGGTTGCTGGCAGAGCACTGTTACTGCATACC